GCTGACATGGCACCCCAGACCATTACTAACTGTGGGTACTTGACACTGGACTTCAGGCATTTTGGCATTTCTCTCTGCCCAGTCTTCCTCCAGACTCTGGCACCTTGATTTCCAAATGACATGCAAAATTTGCTTTTATCCGAACAAAGTACTTTGGACCCCAGTGCTGCTTCTCTGTAGCCCAGGTCAGGCGCTTCTGCCGCTGTTTCTGGTTCAAAAGTGGCTTGACCTGGGGAATGCGGCACCTGTAGCCCATTTCCTGCACACGCCTGTACACGGTGGCTCTGGATGTTTCTAGTCCAGACTCAGTCCACTGCTTCTGCAGGTCCCCTAAGGTCTGGAATCAGTCCTTCTCCACAATCTTCCTCAGGGTTCGGTCACCTCTTCTCGTTGTGCAGCATTTTCTGCCACACTTTTTCCTTCCCACAGACTTCCCACTGAGGTGCCTTGATACAGCACTCTGGGAACAGCCTATTCCTTCAGAAATTTCTTTCTGTGTCTTACCCTCTTGCTTGAGGGTGTCAATGATGGCTTTCTGGACAGCAGTCAGGTCGGCAGTCTTACCCATGATTTTTTTAGTAATGAACCAGGCGGGGAGTTTTTAAAAGCCTCGTGAATCTTTTGCAGGTGTTTAGAGTTAATTAGTTGATTCAGATGATTAGGTTAATAGCTCGTTTAGAGAACCTTTTCATGCAAATTTTTTGACATAGGAATTTTGGGTTTTCATGAGCTGTACGCCAAAATCATCAATTTTAGAAACAATAAAAGGCTTGAACTACTTCAGTTGTGTGTAATGAATCTGATATATATGAAAGTCTAATGCTTATCAGTACATTACAGACAATAATGAACTTTATCACAAATGCTAACTTTTTGAGAAGGACTAAAACACACACACGCTCTGTGGTTAGCAGATGTTGAACGCTGCTGGTTAATGCTGAGTGGTACTCCACTCGGACTCCATGGGGCTCTATAGAGCTCCGGGAGTTGACGTCACTTCTCCCGGCATGCAACAGTTCAAATCGAAACGGCGCCATATTGGCATGCAGAAGCCGGCAGCTGGACTATTTACTATTGTCAGAAAACTCAATCAAACGGGAAATATGGTAGATTCCTGTTGTGCCCCAGGATGCAGAACAGACGCGGACAACGTAAGGAATGAGTCATCTACAGGATTCCCCAAGATCCGGAGCGCCGCAAACGTTGGAGCATTGTAATAAAACGCGCTAGTGACCGGGCTAAAATGAAGCTGTGGGATCCCGAGAGTAAAGGTTTTCGCTTATGCAGCGACCGCTTCATATTAGGTACTTAAACCAACGTTTCCTCAACTGTGTATGGTATTTATTTTAAATGCTTTTATTATGATTCTTAGTGGGCTTCCTAAACTTATTTTGGCGTGGCTTTTTCTGTCTTATTACTCATAGCAGCAAGTAAACGTCACGTAAAACGTTGCCTCGTGAGTTCTGCGTGCTGCCGTTTACGTGTTTTATGATCACAGCAATTAACCGGCTAAGCCGTATTTAATTTTTAAGCAATGGTTGATCAGATCACACATAAAAAGCACTTTGGATTGCTATTATCTGTGTCACCGAGACTACTTACATGTAAATCTGTTATTTGTCCGTCCATCCATCCATTTTCATCCGCGTATCCGGAGTCGGGTTGCTGGGGCAGTAGCGTGACTTCCCTCTCCCCAGCCGCCGGAGCCAGCTCCTCCGGGTAAATCCCAAGGGGTTCCCCGGTCAGGTCCGGTGCTGTGCCGGTCCGCTCCGACAGCTTCTGGCGTCGGAGCGGGCAGTAGAGTTGAGAGTCCCAGACCTTCTCCCCAGCTCCTCCGGCCGGGGGAATCCCAAGGGGTTTCCCCGGCCAGGTCCGGTGTTGTGCCGGTAAGAAGTCCGCTACGACTTCTGGCGTTTTTAAAAAGTATCCCAGGGGCACGGTAAGGGTCGGAGATGTTTAGTCTATTTAATTTCTGACTATATAAAACGATTTCTTCTGTTTTAAAGTGTGAAGTAAACTCCGACGAAGTAAAATCCAAGCGGATCCCGTTCATGTTCATGGTTACATCCGTGTTTGTTTACCTTTTTTGCATGCCAAAATGGCGTCCACTAACTGAGAGTCACGTGGGGTCCGGAGCTCTATGGAACAGGGAGGCTGGCTTAGCAAAAAAAAAAAAAAAAAAATCATGTATTGTCAACATTATACCATCCACAGCAAAATTTAAAGCGTTAAATTTGGGGTGTTAAGCAAGTGTAGATTTAATTTAACACCAAAAAGAGTTATATAATTGATATGTAACACTGACATGAGTTAAAAACAAGTGTCATCTGGAATTGACAATTTAACACTAGTGTTAGAGTTACTATTTTACCTCTAACATCGGTGTTAAATCGTCAACTCCACAAAAGTTTGTTTTTAACACTAAATCAGAGTTAAAATACCAACGCTCCAAAAAGAGTTAATTGAACTTTTACCTGAGCTATCACTTCAACAAACAGTCTTTTTTTTAAATGGACATTTAGAATACGTTACTTTTGTCACGCCTTCATATATTAAACATAAAAGGAGGAAGTGTCGACATTTCAGGTCCTGACCTGACATGTTTATTTCTAGGACATCAGTTGTTGAGGTTTGGTGCAGAATAAAACAAAAAAAAAAAAAAAGGTCTGAAAGTTCTTATAGGCAACATCACCCTCTGTCAGAGAAACAAGCCAGCAGAAGTCAACAAAACAACGACAAGGTCAGGTCTTTGTGTTTAAACCTGAAAGATCATCAGACGGCCATGAAACACAATCAGTGAAAAGCTGCCAATCATTGAGGTTTTTGTAGCCTCCTGGAGAACTACAGCACCCATCATGCCTTGCTGTGGCAAAACATACAGAATAATGGGTAACCATCAAAAACATTAACAGTATTTTAGCTATAGGTTTGCAAAAATGTCTCTTCTTTTTTCTCCAGCGTTTAAACATCACAAACAGACAGAACAGATGCATTTAACATGTTGTGCTTTGAAATCAAACCACCCCACCCCCTCATTTAAGTACGTGTTGCCATAATAAAGGGAAGGAAGTCATAAAAAATCAAAACATTTCATTCACATGAACAATAAATGGTGACACACATTTTATTTAGAAAAAGACGTAACAACAGATAACCCCAATTGAAAACAACATCATAAAGCACAGTGTTTACATAGGGCTACAGCTAATTTTAGACTTACTGCAACTATTTTTCAACCCCATTTATGAGATTTGCCCATTTTTTTTTAAACATGACCTTGTGATGTATAATTAAGGGTTCATATTCAGGCTAAAGCACAGTTTTATTTTCTGGCACATTCAGGTAAAATGTTTTTATACCTCTTGTTTGTGCGTGTGATACCAATAACTAGTGCTAATTCTTGGATTTGATGTTGAATGCTTTGCAGGTTGCAGGTCAGCCACTATTGTTTGGATGAATTATTCGGTGTGATGACGGCACGTACTGAGTGTATAAAGTAGGCGGAGCTGCAGTGACATTGTATATGGTTGATGATTGGCCAACAAAAGCCATTATAGGGCCTTCTTGCTTGGAGCGCTGAGTTTTCTCATTCCCCTTATCCTACCCAGCAACTCGTGGACAAAGTCCTGGTAGAAGAAAATGAGATAAAAGTTACACACAGAAACTCACACAAGGATGCAAAAGATATTTTCAAGGAAGTGCTCAAAGTTTAATAAACGCTACCTGTAAATTATTTGAATTTGTGACCATTGGGGTCAGGGTTAATTCCAATTTGAGTTTGCAGATTCAAAATGATATTAGCTTGTTTTGTTTAGTTTTTAACTGACATATGATTGGAAATTTAGAAATTGGTAACTCAAAAGGTTCTAAAAATAGCGTAGCCTTTATATGATGCTTGTTATGGTGTCAGAAGTAAGTTTGTGTGTTTCAGTTCTTTTGGCATCTAACTTAATGAAAGTAAGTTGTATTTGTTATTTTCATTATTGCTTTCCCTAAACCCATCTGTATTTTTGACAACAGAACAGGAACCTAAAAAGAAACATTGAAAAAAGCATAAATAAACCAGTGAATTGCCAAACTGCCTTCATTCTGTATCCCAACATATTTGAGTCCCTGCAACCTCCTAGATTAGCCTGGGGCATGTGACTCTCTACAGTGTTGACTATTAAAAGTAGTTTTGCAAATTTTATAAACTTGCTTGGCTTAGAAAAAAGGCAAGGCTTTACAGTGGGGGGCAGTTGCCCTCCCCGTAGATCTGCCCCTGAGTTAATGGTTTGCTGTTTCAACTTCTAGATTTTATGCTGAAGTTACATCATGCAGAAGTAAAGGTGGTTTAAACAATTATATTTAGTTTTTTAAAGACATAGTTTCTAGGTTTTGATGTATTACTTTAATCAGGAAAAATAATCAGAGTGGACATATTTATGGCATGGTTACCCTAGAAGACAAAAACTCTGGTCAAAGTGAATAAATGCATAGCTTTAGAACATGACTTTAGGTTTTTTATGTGCTACAAAATGATTAGAAACAGGAGAATGTTAACATAGAAAGGATGTTGTATCATTATAAAATCGATACTGGCACATAAGAAATTACCAGAAGCTATAGAGCAAAAATTATGCTAAATATCTGCTTCTACAGAGGGAATGAAGAAATTTAAGCAGTAAAGAAAGTAATCTCCAAACCGAATGTGTGGGTGAATTCTTCTTTAATGCACAGGAGACAAACACCAGATTATGAGTTAATTTAGAAAAGAAGAACAGAAAGCCTTCTGGTCTTTTACTCAAGGGTGAAGGTCTATGATGGTCTCACTGAGGTGAAAACTGCACTAGAATATAAACTGTCTCATTATCTCAGGTGTGATGCTGCTCATGATCTAATTACTGGTGTCTCCCTGTCCTTCCTCTGCTCTGCCTTGCCTCCTTTATAACCATTATCCATCGCTCACTCAGCAGGTGTTTTTCTCATTTACCCCCCCATCATCCTTCTGTTGGTTATGGCTTCTCCTCTCACCTCCTGTTGATCTTTAACTTCTAGTTAATACACTCTTGCTCTTTCTTCCACCTTGCTCCTGTGTTTGTGTGGACCCCATCAGTACAAATGCTTTGGTAACAGGCGCTGTCTTGCATGTTTGTGTGTGTCTCTGAATCGGAACAGAAAATATGTGGGAATCTACCAAGGGGGGTAGCTTGTGAGTTCACCAAGCACCAACGTTATGTTAGCTCCTCAGGAAGTCTCCAGGTGTTTCTCAATGCCAAGGAACCTTGCCTTGATGTCTTGGCCCCGCCCCGGTTGCCTAGGAGATATGTCAACGGGAGCCGCCAAGACGTGTTCCAATGTTCATGTTCTACCGAGGCGTGTGTTCTCCGTTTGTTAGCTGTTTTGCTAGCTTAGCGATGATACACGGGAGGTGTCTTGTAGCCTAGCCTTGGTCAAAAATTACCCAGAACACACCGCGTTATATTCAAAAGCAGTGGTGGGCAGTCAGGGCCAGCAAAGCCTTCTCTGCTGGCCTAAACATACTCAAAAACGTAAATGTATTTTTTTCCCTTTGGTAAATATTTTTAAATTAAAAAAATGTTCACTGGTCTATTTTCTTTATATCCTATTATGCCCACTTGGCTGCGCTGCTTCCAGTGTTAAAATACCAAGGCTGGGTGTTATCCAATAAGATTTAAGCTAGCTTGTGTTTTCAGGCAGATTAAGTCTGCTCTAGGCCTTCAGAATCAATCGAGAAGCCCACTGTCCGCTGTAAGTGAACAGAGACGAGCCAGTTGCGATAGCCAATCAGCTCACGAGTCAGCGTGGCTCAGGCCAGCTAGCTGGCCTCACGCAAAAGTTGACATGAACGCATCCTGTGATTGGATAAGCAGTAGTTAGAACTTTTCTAGCAGCATGAAGCAAAATATCAAAACTAAACACAGAGATTTGTATCTATAGGCAGCTATTGGTTTATTTTTGAACACATGATGGCTGAAAGAGGAGAAGGGACCGACTTGGTTGCAGATTTACTTGCCACACCATTTTCCAGACGGACCTTTCAAGAAAAAATGGATCTTGTGAGAACAGGTCGTCCGACTCCAACGCTGGCTGGCTTGTCCCAGCAGGGGAAAGGATTTGTTCTTCATTTTCCGGCAAGCAACTATGAACGGTACCCATGGCAAACAGCTTCAGAGAACCGCTGCAGGTTATTCTGCCGGGAATGCCTGTTGCTCACATCAGATGGATTTGGTAGCATTAAAGCGCGTTAAAATGTACGTCAGAAACACGACCGGGCAGACACGTCTTTCAGCATTAGCCTCCATGTCCATAGAAAAGGATCCACTCATGGACCTGAAGCGCACAGATGAACTGTACAGAGCCATTGAGGTTTTCCTGAGGAAAGAAAGAAGGATGGATTTTATTTTCAAATGAGCAGGAGAGGAGGAGATCCATGCTGGACATTTATGTTGGTGAGTAGAAAGTATTTTTTAATGTTTTGTCATTTCATTTTGTTAATAATAAATGTTAACGAAATAAAATGGCTAAATGAAATAATTCTACGTGTTGTTTCTATGCAATTTATATTGTGTATAACGTGGTGTGTGCAGCTGCGCCAACATGTTCAATTGTTTCGCGGTGCAATTTTCTCCAAAACAAATGCAAATAATGTGTTTGCTTTACTTATTTATTTTATTGTCCCATCTTTTAAACCCATCTTTCATTTTTGAGATTTGACAGTATCCGTGGTCTTAGTTTCCTACTCTCAATTGGGAATGCGAGCTTGATTTTAAAGGCTCAGGAAATGACGTCTTGCCCAGCCACTGGTGTGTGTGTGTGTGTGTGTGTGTGTGTGTGTGTGTGTGTGTGTGTGTGTGTGTGTGTGTGTGTGTGTGTGTGTGAGAGAGAGAGAGAGAGGTTTCTCCAGCTGTGATGTCCTATTGATGGTATTTTAAGGTGTGTTAATTTAGATTGGACTGAATAGGAAATCACTGAAGGCCCAGGGGTGGAATGCACCGCCCGCCACTGTTCAAAAGGATGGCGGATCGGAAGCCGACAGTTACTTCGGGGGCAAATTTCAAGTTTAAAAGTAAGTCAACTAATTAAAAATGTCTTTTTTTAGATCCAAAGAAGAAGAAGAAGAAGAAAGTATCATTTCTATAGCGCCTCTCAAAATAAAAAATCACGAGGCGCTTCACAAAAACAAAAAATGTAAAAATATCAAAAAGCATTTGGAAAATGTTTAAAAATATCTTTAAAATGAGCAAAAATAGGCAATTGCGATTAAAAAATGTCAAGAAAGAGAGAAAGTGAACAGGAAAGAGGGAAATCAGTGGATCCTGAGGAAGGTGGAATAGGTGGGGAGAGCAGAATAAAGAGAGTGGTGAAAAAGGTCATACAAAAGCCAGCTTGAACAAGTGAGTCTTCAGCTGCTTTTTGAAGGAGACCACTGAGTCCACTGATCTCAGGCTCAGGGGGAGAGAGTTCCAGAGTCTGGGGGCCATAGCAGCCAGCGCCGGCGCTCCGCACACGCACACCACGCATAGCGCGTAGGGCACCACGCCGGGGGAGGGGCACCAAACGCAAGCTTATGAAAAAAATAATATATATATGATGAAGACAGATTTCAGTTAGAAGATGTGCAAAGCAAGTTAACAACATGTTTACAGAGAGAAAACAATGCAAAAAGGAAAGGAGATGGACTGTGTCCACTTTTCACTCTGTCCGGGCGTCCGGACTGGGGGTTCTTGTATTGATGAAAATGTCCGGCTTTTCATCCAGGAGCAGGGATCGAATTATGGGGGAGCTGGATAGCCTACACATCCAGGGGAGCTGGAAAAACGTTTTCTACCTATATTACATAATTTATGGACTCTTTTGAGCAGAGAGCATAGAGAGCGGCACAGCGCGTTATTGCGCAGCGCTCCAGGCTGTTGCGTCCAGCGCACGGTCCATTCTCAAAGTGGCGCAACCAAAAAACTATAATTAACCCACGATTGTTCATGTCCGCACATGTTCTCTACTTTCTGTCTTATTTGTGCCTGTAGCGCTCTGCTACTGCGGAGCTTATCACCTGTGCTGCGGTGATTTCACCTCACTGACGCAGCATCGAAACGCGCTCTCCGCTTTGTGTTCAGGAGATCCCTTTGATCTGCTCAAAAGTAACTGATGAGGTGAAAAAGTAAGAATCCAGGCAGCAGATTTTCTGGAGAGTTTAGAGGAGATGCAGGAAGATGAGAGACAGACAGGACAGGAAATAGTTAAATAAAAACAAGAAAACAAAACTAAGTGTTGAAAAGTAAAATGTAGGTAGATTTATCTCCACGACACATTTTTACCTGTATAAAACAATAAGTTATACACATGTCATATTTATACATCTGATACAATTCAGATCACCTTCAACACTCAGTCACACACCCAGGGCCGTTTCAAGGCATTTTGGGGGCCAAGGCAAAATGACCCCCCCCCCCCCCCACACACACACACACACACACACACACACACACACACACACACCACCACCACCACCACCACCCCAAAACTGGGCTCCCCAGAAGCCTCTGTGTAATTCATACCCTCTCCAGTAGTATTAGTTATACAGTGTTTATAAAAGCCCCTCAGACATTACTGACATGTTCTAATA